ATCTGAAAAATAACTATGGTCAACTCAGTTATAAGATGTGTGTCTGAAGAATAATACAGTTCATTATCACTTGATGGATTAGATTATTTTTCGTGTTGCCTGTATTCAGGCAGAAAGGAGCAGAATAAAGGATGTGCTGGAATCTAAAGAATAAAATGTGTTTTCATCCGGCTGTGTTTACATTCGTCACTAAGCAGTGCTGCAGCTGAATAGTTTCTATGATTTGATTGAAGTGTCATGTCACTAACGCCACAAGACCACAAAGTGTTTTTCATAAAGATGTGTGCATGTGTGTGTCGTGTATGCTGTGAGGGATTTGGTGTCATGACAAAAAAAAACTCGGAAAACCCCATTTTACTTGTCTTGAAACTATTAAATCTGTTTTTGTGCTTTGGTGATTGCAACACTTTCAGGAAATGACTTCTGCTGCAGAAGTAATGCATCATGACCACACGATGGAGGCAGAGGCTCATTTTTCAGCAGTGTTCTCTACATGGGATTGATTTGATCCAGACTTTAGATAAATTCTGTCTTCTTGAACTGCATGAACCACCACTTTCACTGCCTAAAGCTGCACCCCCCCCCCCCCCCCCCCCCCTTCTGTGGTGAATGCTTAATTCCAGCTTCTATGTACAAGTTCACAACACAGCACATCCTCCACTCCCTGGTGCCACAGTATAATTCCTGGATTAAGGTTAACGAGCCTCCCAACCTTATTGCTGTTATTATGGCTTGGCAGTGGAACATGACAGCAGAGCTTTTTTTGGTGGTTGTGTGCCCTGCATAACTGCCAGACATGCTGTGCCATTACTGGGTGTGCAAGCTTGCCCTGTAAAATCTCTCTTTTTTACCTTTTATTTTTCACATGCAACTCATCGTTTGGGTGTGGATTCGAAACATTCCTCAGTAAGTTGCAGATTTGTCTTGGTCATAAAATGGAGAGTAGCTGATGTGAGATGTGGTTTAGTTTGAACATGCCGCACACATCAGCCTGTGTAGAGTGTGCATGTTGTCACTGCTGTGTGTGTGTGTGTGTGTGTGGGGGGGGGGGGGGGTCCTTGGTGTTCTGGTTTCCTCTTACACTCCAAAGATGTGTAAGATAGGTTTAAAGCAACTTGAATTATTTAGTAAGGAGACTAAAAATGTTAATTTGGTTTTGAGCTTGCTTCCAGAGTCTGTTACCTGAGATACAATCTAAAAAGAGCCAGCTCAAAATAAATAACCTAAAGTCATTAATAATTATCTAAAATTAAACTGTAATAAAATGCTGCAGAGGACTACTTGAAGGACAAAGTTTATGAGCCTCACAGGCTCAAGAAAAAAAGTTATTCCATAAGCCTTGTTGTCTGTGCTTTGAGGCTTCTGCCTGAAGAAAGTTGGGTGAATATTTAATGAGCTGGATGGGATGGGTTACCATTTTCGTTGCATTGGATTTGCAACTGCTAGTGGCTTTTTTGACAAGGGTAGATCCAACCACTCCTTGTAGTACGTCTTGTCAGCCTCAGAGCAGTTTTCATTCCAGACAGTTCCGAAATACACCAGTTCACTCTTCACCACATTTCAGCACTGAAACGGGCATTTTAAAGACACTGGCTGTGTTTGTGCATCAGTGGACATTTGCAGACCCAAACAATTAGCTGAAAAAGGGTGTAAGCATTGTTTCTACCCTCTGTTTAGTATTTGCCCTTTCTAACTATTTCCGACATAGATTCATTGTTGCTGAAGATCAAACCAACAAATGCATAGTCATCTGCAAGCAGCACAATGTTTACAGAATAGGATAGGGTAGGGTAGGGTGGGGTAGGAAAGGGAAGAGTAGGGTAGGGTAGGGTAGAGTAACGTAGGCCAGGCCAGGCCAGGGCAGGGCAGGGCAGGGCAGGGCAGGGCAGGGCAGGGCAGGGCAGGGCAGGGCAGGGTAGGGCAGGGCAGGGTAGGGAAGGGCAGGGTAGGGCAGAGCAGGGCAGAATAGGATAGTTTTACTTGTTGAACCAGCGTCCCAGTACAACAAAATGTAGTTTCAGTACAACCATTCCAATTATTTTAACGTGGACATGCAGACATTTATAGCTCTCCCATTGAATATGAGTGTGTGCAGGGTTTCAAGCTAGGACATTATTTGTAATTATTCATAAGAGAAGGGGGCGCAGAACACAATCGTACACTGGAAATAAACAGTGTAAAACATCACACAGCTATGAGTCTGCAACAATATACGTATAATCCGGAAACTTTTCAAATGAAAGATTCACTGTAATTTTTCTAATTAGTACCATGAATCAAGCTGCTTTTCTTTTTTGAAGTAAACACTTTTCATTTGGCTTCTTTCTGCAAGTCTTTTGGACTTTTCTCAAATGTAATTCCTGGTATGGATTCCATCCATCCCAGGAAATAAAAACGGTACAATCCAATGCAGGTCCATGCAGGTGGTGGCTGACGTTCCGCTCTGCTGCACAAGTTCATCTAAGGATTACTGGCTCTGAAAGAGGTTGTAAGCTACAGGTGTGCAGGAACAAAAAGCGTGAAAGCTGCCAGGAACATCTTTTTTTAATTTACTGTGATGGAAAAGGTCATAAGTCATTCAGTTAGAAGGGGATATGAGGACACCGGTAGGGAGTGATTCTTCTCTTGTCCCATTAACACCTTTTTACAGTTGTACCTTCACCTCATCTTGACCTCGAGGCACGTTTATCTCTTGCAGACTTGAAATCACACTCAGGCAACTTTAGGACACAGGACAGTAAAAAAGAAATGAGGTAGCATCATGTAGCGCCTGGCGGAGGGTTCTGGGTCTCTTCCAGGCAGATTTACTGCAACCCAAAGGCTGAGGATTGAGGAATGTCCCCCTGCAGTGAGAATGAGAGGGCCATGGGAGGGTGAACTAGACAGACCAAGGTATCTGTACTTCAAGATGATATAGGACCTGACAGTAAGTCAGGACTTTCAAAGGATCTGGAGCTCCCTCTGTCTCGTGGGACATTCGGTGTATTTCCAAATTAAGATGTAACAACCTTAAGCTGCTGGAATTCAGCTATCGTGAATTTAATCGGAAAAGACAACCAAGATACACATGACGGCATCATCGGAGGGTCCTTTGTAAGAAAAAGTTCCTACAACCGGTCTGGTGGCGTTGGACAAGAGCGTGTAAGCTGCCCCACATTTTGATCAACCAGAGTTACAGCCGTTTAAATTCTGGCCATACTCTATGAGGATGGTGAATTACGCCTGTTAATCCTGATCCCTACTGTGGACGGATGGAAAAGCTCCAGCATAATCCATATTGTGGCTGAAAATCCTTCCAATTTTGTCAGATGTTACTTCCTACGTATCCATTATGTAGCCAAAGGAAAATGTCTTGTGACTTTAAACCCACCTCATGGCATTTTTGGCAACTTGTAATTTTGTCAAGTCTATGATTAATAGATAATCTTCAGCTGCAAACACTGCTCGTTGCTTTGGGATTCTGCTTGAATGACAGACTTTTGGTATATTTTGGGTTGTGCTTTTCATCCAGGATGTCTTACTGGGACGAATAAGCTCCTTGTTGGTGAAGGATGTTTGTGATTAGGAAGGATGTTGGCCAGAAACCTGCTCTTCCTGAATCAGCTGATCTGCGTATGCTGCAGCATTCCCTAAAACCTCAAACTCGCTGCAGCACGACGCAGCCTGTGTCACGGATTTATATCGTTTGATGAATTAAAGCGAATTCCCAAAATGAAAGAAACTTGTCAGTCCATGAGCCAAACCACTTGTGATGGATAAAACACGAACACAGCCTTTTAAAACAGACTTTTTCCATGCTTACCTTTACATATATGTCTCTTTTTTGTTTCTATTGCCTTGATGGATTAGTTTTACTTTTATTTATTATAAATTATAGGCTGCTTTAATGTTTAAAGCAGAACTGATGGTCTGGAAAAAGCTATTTTTCTTTATTACACTGCACATTTGTCTCTAAGAGAGCATAACAGCAAAAAAAAAAAAAAAACACAAATTCTTCAAAAATCCAACCAAAAATAGATCGTCTCTCATACATATTCACTTACACCTGTGTTTGGCTTTGCTGCTGCGGCATTTAGGAGTCTGAGCATGCCCGATTGACATACAGCTGCCTTTGAAAGGATTTCATTCCTGTTTGATGCCTTTGCAGCTTTCCTGATCTGGAGAGCACGACAACATTTTGTATACCTCAGTTATCCCTTTGTGTCAGGTGTCATAAACAGAAAAGGGGTGACATTTGATGGAGAGGGGTATGTTAAAAACCGAAAGACACCTGCACAACTTTGCATGCAGAAACTGATAAGCACGAGCTGTGCACAGCAAGGTGTGATATTTCCTTTGACTGGAAAACAATTTAGATTATTTGTCAGTATAACCTAAGCATTAGCTGGTTTTTCTTCAAGATCTTGTCTTTTGGAGTCAACGTTGGGGGGATTTTAAAGAAACTTTCAGAAAATAACCACTGGATGAACTTCTGTGATTGATTAAGGTTTAGAATCAACCCAACTAACAAAGGTTACATGCCTCCAACATAACATTCCCTTAAAGCTGGTATAGAAGGAGGGTGGTGAGGCCTGTAAATGGTAAAGGATTCCAGGGTGATCAAAAGCAGATCAGCATTTATTCATACAGTCTTTTACAGATTTTTACAGACACATTGTCACGTAAGCAAATAATTAAAAAAAACGAAAAGATGACACCATGCAGTTGTTTGGTTCTGCTAAACCACAGCAGGAAGGCACAGTCACTGTGGCCAGAAACCTCAGCTCATTCTGACAATTATATAACTTCTAATTTCTTAAATGTCATCTTTGGAGGGTTTTTAAAGCAGCTGGGTTTGAGCTGTAATGTTTCTGGTATGTGTGAAGAGTTAACAAGAAGTCTGGACTGCTACTTGTTTGGATTCCTTCCCCTCCACTGGCCACACTTTGCGTGCTGTTCGGTGGGAGAGAGGGGCGGGACTTCGCAGTCGGGAAGGGCGTTCTCTTTGCGGCCAGACCGGGTAGAGTCATCCCGAAGGGGTGGGTCCTCCGGCAGCAGAAAAGGAAAGCCCACCTTTTTTTTTCATTGTTAAGGACGCGGAGGAATGTGATGGTTTGATCTCAGACGGACCAGGGAGGGAGATACCGAGAGGACCAAGGAAAGAGGGGGGAGAAGTGAATTCAACACCCCCCTCGGCACTGACTCTCTCCGGTCTTGTCTGGATGAACTTGTCCCGGCTGCTGCAGAGACTGAATTCAGCCTTTCGTGTGAAACTTGTGGATTAACCGCTGCTGTTTTCTGTCCTGCCGTTTGACGAGCCGCTAAGGTAATAATTTAAAAAATCTGAGCCCATTGTAACTTTGAGTGTGTTTTTGGGGTTGGCCGGAAATGTGTTTGGGGAGTCGGGCAGCAGTTTCCTGAGTTGGACGGAGCCAGTTGGGACTGCAGAGGTCTGAACTGCGGCAAGTTGTCCGTCTCCGTCCATCGCCTCCTCCAGTGGTCGCTAAAGAATAGCATCCTGGTGCGCAGCAAAAAGGCCCATTTGCTAACACATGTAGAACATTTTGGTTTAAAAATGGCTTTTATTTGGTTTTATGTCAGTGGCGTACCTAGGCTTTTTAAAACGGGGTGCCCCAGGTGTGGGGCACTTCTCTATGCATGGGTGGCACCTATGCTTGTAGGCTTCTTTTCTTTTTAGCATTCTAATGACTTTGTGAGCTTCACGTTATAACATGAACATTTTCTTATACCTGTTTTGTGGTGGTTAGCAAGTAATTTATTTATTATTGCTACCAATTGGAGTGGAGTGGGACCTGGGAATACTTTTTATATCAGTGTGAAAATAATACTTAATAATAATATTACAGAAATGTTATCAACTCATTCACTGCCATTGACAACTAAAGTCGTCGATTGAGTTTTTTTAATCTTGGCAGGCCTGGGAACGAGCTCACGCGCCTTGAGTAAACATCACGGCTCTAAAATTGATTTTCATCCATTTGTGTCACGCGTCACATGATCATGAAGCAGACATTACATGAATTAGAAGATTGTTTTGGGACACCGCTATGCCTAAAACGAGGCGCAAACTGGAAAAGCTTCTGCAACTCGCACTTCAACATAGGATAGTGAAAGAACGGAGAAAGCTAGAAACATTCTGATTCTTCATTATGTAAGAAGTGAGTCTACTCTTTCTTCTGGTCGATTTGGTGTTTACATGGTCATAGAGCACAATATTCTGTGACTCTTCAAAAAGAAAATGTAAAAATGCTCAAAAATGGGCTTTTCTGATCAGAAAGCAACTGGCAGTGAATGAGTTAATGATGTAATAACTCATTCACTGGCGGCCATTTCCTGATCAGAAAAGCCCTTTGTTGCCAGCGTTTTTCAGCATTTTTACTGCTTTTTTAAGAGTCACAGAACATTGCACTCTATGATGATGTCAGCGCCAAAACTAACAAAACAAAGAAGAGACTCACCTCTTACATCAGGAAGAATCCGCACGTTTCGAACGGTTTCCATTCCTTCATAATCCGTTGTCGAATTGTGATCGGCAGAAGCGTTTCCGGTTCTCTCCTTTTTTTTTTTTTACAGCAGCGGCCAAAAAACAATCTTCTAACAAATTGATTTTCTACTTCCTGATCACGTGACGTGTGACGTACACGGAGGAAGATCGGCTTTAGAGCTGTGATGTTTGTCCTGACGGTGCGGGGGCTCGTTCCAACGCCCACACAGTAAAAAAATGAAAATGGTGACTTTAGTCGTCATTGGCAGTGAATGAGTTAGTGATGTATTAATGACTCTCCTCTGGAAGCCTAGGCCTAGTAGCGGAAGTCTTTTATTTTGTAATGTTCATGCCCGGACCTTCCAAGCTCTAATGAGAAATTTGATGTACAGGTTTATCCTGCAGTTGAAGAGCTCAGAGGACAGACTGGTCCGGATGCTGGTGGATCCCAGTTTTAGTGCAGTACTTTATCAGCCATCCATGTGGAGACACTGGTATGCATGTCTTTTATCATTTTTGTATCATTTTTATGTGTCCTATGCTATTTGTTTTTAATGTGGACCTTGAGTCCGATGATGAAGATGTTGGTCCGGGTAGAAATCAATGCTAAAGGTATACACTTGGTGTTTATAACCCCAAGCCTTCTTTGAACAGTGTAAAGTCAGTTTAAATGGAAATTAGTAGGGTGGCCAATCAGATTTCAAGGGTGGCGTGGACTACCAACCCAAGCCACTCCCTGGATACGCCCCTATTTCATGTAGGTTTGTACTTCACCTCGCAAGCTTGTGCAAATTATGTCAAAAACTAGCTTGTTTGCAATTTTATACATTAACAAATGTTTTGGTCAAAGAAAGAGAAGTTTTAGACTGCATTAGTTTCCCCAGTGTTTAAAATGCCAGGAATATTGGGGAATTTTTTAAGAACATTAAATTATTTTCAGTTTCTTTACAATAAGTAGTGTCAAACTTAAGCTTGCATTTTAACAGTTTCTACATTAGCACGGCACCCAAAAGGTACATTTTTATCTTAAGGTCATAACTAAGCATTGAAGGTATGCCGTAAACTGTATGGAAAATTGAAAAAAGATAACACTTTATGTTATACATAATTTTAAAAGATTTATTTAATGTTTTAAGTAATTTTTAGCTAATTAAAGCTTTGTTTTGGTTCCCTTGTAAATGGAGGTGTTGGCTTTAAATCTACATGTTGAAGATGAGCAAAATTGTATTCTGTGTGAATATAAAAATGTTTGATAAATGTGCCAATTTTCTTTTTTTTGTCCATCAAATCTATCTTATCTATCTATAATTTTTTTTTATAATTGGTCACTTATTCAAGGTGTTGTTCACTCTTTTAATTAGGGATGGACAATATGTCAGCATCAATATCAGTATCTGCCAATGTTAGTCATTTTTTAACATATCGGTATCGGTCCGATTATTTAAAAAAAAATTTTTTAAACGGGCCGGTATTATCATCCAATATTTTTTCCATCTTGTCACCATTTGTTTGCCTGTTTCAGAGGGTGAGGGGGGTGATTTGTATTTGTTTAGTCATGTCACAGTGATTGTAATCTTCTCAGAATCGTAAATGTGTGTGATGTGTGTACACAATAACGTTAATTCAGCTTTATCATTTTTATTCTATGCAAAATCTGCTGATTTTAGAAGCATTAATGTCAGTATATTGGTATCGGCAAGTATTAGTTATTGGCCATAACAGTGATCTTAATATCTGATATCGGTATCGCCCCAAAAATTTCATATCGGTGCATCACTACTTTTAATCAATACATTTGCAACGGTCTCTACTAGGAAGGAATGCCTTGTAAGTTGTACTCTGTGGAAACAAAGTTCGGGTTAACCAGTTTCGGGAATTAAAAGAGAGGTACATGAGAGCTGAGGATTTGGCAGGATTTGGAGTAGGGGTCCCCAATATATTGGTATCAGTATCGGCCGACATTAGTCATTTTTTAACATATCGGTATCAGTCCGATAAATAAAACTGGGCCGATATTAACAATCCATTTTTTTCCCATCTTGTTTCCATTTGTTTATCTGTTTCAGAGGGTGAGGGGGGTGGTATGTATTTGTTTAGGCATGACAGTGGCTGTGATCCTCTCAGAAGCGTCAGTATGTGTGTGTGTGTGTGTACACAATAACATAATTTCAGCATTAATCATTTTCATTCTATACAAAATCTGTTGATTTTTGAAGCATTAATGCCAGTATATTGGTTATCGGCCACAACAGTGATATTAATATCGGTATCGGCCCAAAATTTTCATATCGGTGCATCACTAATTTGGAATCTTATTTCCTGATATTTGGACATCTCTCTTTGGATTGGATAACAGCAACACAACTCAACCACTGACTCTGTTTTATCTCTACAAATAACACAAGCCTGAAGGAGTTCCGCTGTGTGGTGGAGTTGCTAATGCTAACAGTTAAGATTCTACTAGTCGAGACGTTCTGTGCTGTTTCCTGAACACTAAAACAACAAGTCCATGAATGTTCAGTGACGGTGTGACATAGATCTGTCAGGATTTTAAAATCCTAGAGCTTCACCGTCTATTTTCAATTGGAAGTAAATTCAGGAGGTAAGTGTAGAGGACTATTTTCATGTTCAGCCTGCAGAAACAATGTTTTTTCAGTGTTCCACGCCTTTTTAAGGAAGTTAAAACATGGAATCTGTTCTTTGAGACATCCTTGTTCTGTTTGAGTATGTTTTATTTATTTTTTTGTCACAACTGTGTCACGCTTCATAACCAACATCTGCGCATTTAAAACTAAGGTGACAGAGTTTTCAACAGCCTGTGTTCACTGATTCTCCTGAATACTAATCAATGCAGGGGAGGGGGAAAAATCTAGTTGTTGTGATGGAGTGCTAATCTGCCAGGTGGGGCTCATAAAGAACAGCATAAGGAGGGAAGGAGATGGAGGGGACCTGCCTTGACCTGTTTCAGACATGAAGGATACAAAAACAGGGGGGGGGGGGGAAGTCCCTGATGACTTTTCAGTAAGGCTCGCCTTCCCAGCTGGCGGTAGATTATACCAGCCTGCTGTGAACCCACTTTGCTCCTGGACCAAGCTACAGCAAAGGCGTTGAAGCTTGTCGCAGTGGTAGATGCGCTAAAAGGATTCTTTCTCTTTTTCCCCTTCAGTATTCTGGGCAGGATTATTACACCACATGTGGAAGGGAACGTCTGCAGTATAATGTCAGTTTGAGAGAGTAAATGCAAAAGGGGAAAAACAAATAAGAGCATAACCAAAGTCAGGAGTGAGGTGCTTAAATTTCTCCTGATTACAGCTCCAACCATGCATTTGCAGGCCTGAGCAATTATGCTCCAAGTTAGGTTTGGTTAAGTTGGCTCTGAGGAGGCATAATTCACAGCGGATGCCCTCTTGCTTGCAGAGTTTGATTGCACAGCAATATTATAATCATTAATATTGACACAGCTGGAGTGCAAGCACCACCTCCACCTGCTCTGCAATCAGCAAAGAGACTTCACCCTGAAAGTTAAAGTCACTGTCTTCTTTATATCTTGTCCAGTCAGCTGCCATGTAAAGTAACAATCATACCCCTCTCGTTTCTTTTTACGACCTGGTCCGTTCCACGCATGATTGGTTTTCCACTCCGCAGAATGCTGTGGCCGCCCCATGAAACTGCCTGCACTGCTTTGGGTGAAATCAAAAACTAATCATTATGGGTGTCCAATAAGGATAATTATCAGACTAAGCACTGGACCTGGGGATTGCCGAGTGGCTAAATAACCGCTCTGGGGATTAAATTAAAATGCTGAGGTTTTACTGCCTGGGAGAATCAAACCACTGGGAATGTGGAACCTGTCCTGTCAATGTTAATATTACACATGACCCTCTCCTTAGTGTGGCACAATCACATATGCATGCAGAATTACAGGACTTGGTATCATGTGATGCAAGTGCTTAGAAATAAGAGCAGATATTGTCACTGATGGATGGAAAAACTGATCTGGTCTGATGTTATAGCTGTAAACTGCAAGGGAAAACATAAACACACAAACACCAGACACTCAAGCAGCACATAACATCCGCAAAACGTAGTATCTAGCAGTTAGCAGCCAATATGGTAGCAGGGTGCGTTTCCACTAGCCACACAGCGGTGTGTCCCAAAAGCATGTTGACTCATCGCTCAGTTGATATTGTTATTCAAGTCATTTTTATGCTACGCTTCTAGAACGCATCAAGCTCAGCAGTTCAGGTCGGACCAAACAGGAAGTCAAGTGTGAGCAGGGTAAAATTTCTACAATCTTTAAGAATAAAAGACACGTGCTGATTTCCTGTTGCAAAAAAATTTGCTATGATCTGTAGCAGAAGTAAACGAAACAGAAAATAAAGCGTCGACCTTTTTAAACATGTGCTGCTGTATTTCTCTTTGATTGTTATTGTGCTAACTGCTGAGATCACATGTGGTCTTGCGTGATTTTGTGACCTCGTGGGACCAGCTGCATGGAACGTCTCCAGTTGGAAGGGATGCGCTGGTGAGCTTATGGAGAAAACTTGTCTAATACGTCACGCAACGCATCCAATGTGAAAGCCCGGTAAGATGCGAGTTAATGCTACACTAGCAGCAGCCACTGGAATTATAAAGAATGAATTAAATTTCAATGTATTATTTATCTGATGCTTGTTGATAATTGGCTAAAACTGCATGTTTGATTGAACTAAACCAGATGAGATCTTAATTTTTTCCTCAGATACACACCTGTCAGGAAATCACCAGAATACAAAATCCTAAAAGTGTCTAGCGATGCAGCCAAGACATCCTGATTAGCTGTAACAGATATCCCAGGTAAATTTAGGACCGGATGGTGTTGCTGCATATCGGTATTATTAGTGGTCGAGTTTTGTTTTAGCCTCGGCTCCACGTTCACCCAGGAATAGAGCAGCGGAAGATGCGGAGTGATGTTGCAGGCGTTGCAAAGTGTCCTCTTCTTAGAATGGCAGAGTTGAATCATAACCTTTCTCATGAAGCTTTGTGTAAAGGCCCACACACAGCCAGTGAGTGTATATCCGTTTATGAGTGTATGTGCGTGTTTGTGATAATGCAATAAAGAGCTGAGTATACAGGACAAAGGCTGGTGTTGACTGTACACAGACCAGCTGGAGGCTCTCTAGGTTGTAGCAAACTAGATGGAAGATGGCTTATTTCCACAAATAAGTCCCTATGAGTTCACACAGGCTCTCTGGAGCGTACGTTTCTATGTAACATCATCTGATTCAAATGAGTTGTAACGAGGACCTTACACCGATGAGGATTACATTTCACAGTTTCACACACGTTTGAGAGCGATTGATTGATTGATTGATTGAATCAAGGCGCTCGGTTATACAATGGTGAAATACACATGAGCTGAGTTGCTGCAATTAGCCTAACTGCTTTGAGGAACCAAATAAGTGGATTTTGTTTTCCACACAACAAAGATCCGGCTTGTTGTTGGTTTTTTTGA